CATAAAACCTTTAGCATTTAACGTCACGGTAGGTTTTTAACAAAAGAAAAGTGTAATTAAACAAAGCTGCGTTTTTCTACTTTAATTCAAAAAGTACGATGTAGTAATTTTTTAACATGCAGCAAAACAACTTTTACAACAAATTTTTGTAAAAATCAAAAATAATAAAAGCTTTTTATTTCATAAGAGGAACTTTTTTTTTACCGATATCTTAGTAATATTTAAATTTATATATCTTACTTATAATTCTTTTGTTTTTAAATTGAAATAAATATTAAAGCTTTACTTACAAATCTTATGACTTTCATACGAGCGTTTTATATTATATAGAACTTTATGCAAATGGTCTCTCGTTTTTGTGCAAGAGAGCGCAGTATTATATAGTCTTACTTATTTTTATTTAAAGAATGGGAACTTTTTTCTAACTTCTATGGTTATTTTTTTACGCTATGATATTTTTTGTTTTCCTGTCAAAAAGAAGTATTAATTAAAAATTAATTTCATAAACTGACAGTATTAATTAGAGATATTTGATGAATTGTTAACTTTTTTTATTATAAAATTTTTTTGATTACGCTGATTTATTTTAATTTGCTAAATTTGGATAAAAACGGATAAAAAGGAAATATCATTTTATTTTACATTTGATTTTTGATAACGAAACTTTTAAAATATCGGCAACTCCAATTAGAACCTGTTAAGGTTATGAAAAAAAAGTACAAGAATATACTAAACAAAACAGTTGACAGTAGTATCAAATATGAAAATTTGTGAAAGGATATGTGAGATCCTGGTTTTGCATTAAAAGTACAATTAATTGCAACACAAGTCGGCATTATAAATTTTAATTATAAGTTTACTGTTCAATATTTTATAACCATCAAATAAAAAACATGAAGTTTGTATATTTTCGCCCGTTTTATACAACTAATATTTAACAAAAATATGGACAAATTATTATTAAATAACGCAATAATTAACACATTAATTAATAGCAATAATTCAAGATAAATGGTAATTTAAATTGTCAAAATGAAAAATTAAAAAATTTTTAAAACACAACAAATACAAATTTTCAAGCAATTTTCTCTTCCGATTTTCATTTATTCAAAGAAAAGTTACTATTAAACTTTTATTTCTCTCATCTAAAATAAAAGAACGAGTTACGTAAAAAATATTCTATACAATTCTTATTTATTCGAAGTTTAATTACGCTAAACTTTTCTTTTTCTTTTGTTCTACTCTTTTATAAAAAGAGCGAGCGATGAAATAAAAACTTTTCTTTTTTAACATAAATTTATACTTTAAGATAAAATTAAATTAGAAATAAAGCAACAATGAACAAAGCAACTAACAGATTAATCTGGGACTATTTTTTGATACTAATGAAAATAATCAGCATAAACAACATTACCAACAACGATTATCAAATAAACAACACAATATCGCATAATTTTAGGGGCTTTTTATTTTTATTCCTTAGTCGTTCTAAATAATAAGTAAATTTAGTTCAAGTTAATATTTCAATATTTACAGTTGCAATATAATAAAGAAATGATGTTTAATGTTGAACTTTTTATTTAATTATTTATTTTTTACCTAAATTTGTTATAAAAAACTTTCAAACTCCCGTTATTAAAGTTTTAAATATATTTCAAAGTGATTATTTAAATTAATTTTTTTCGCTTGACTTCCCAAACTTCATGCAAAGCAAATAGAGACGAAATATTATCTAACCAAATAAAAATGCTGTTACTAATTTTATAAGGGTAATTAATGTAAAACAATTTTTACCAGAGTCTTGATTGAGATAATAAATATTCATAATTTATAAACATTAAATATATGGCGCAATAACAATTTATAGCAACAAACCAGCATAAAATATTTGAGGTTTTTAATATCTTTTTAAATGTTAAAAATAGAAGAAAAAAAAACTTAACAAATAATCAAAAAAAAGTTCGAATAAAATAAATAAAAATATTTCCAGAGTTTTATTTGGTAAAATTCTACCGTGACGTCAAATACTAAAACTTTTATGAATTAAACGCGCTTCAAAGGAATCGCTAAAGTTTGTAGATTGCAACGTATAATTTAAAGACTCTGAGTTATTGAAAAAAATGGAGAAGACGAGCTTTGGCTAAAACAACAATGGTATGCATTCATTATTTATTTTTAATCAAAAAAACTTGGTTCAAACCTTTTTTTTAACATTATCTTTAATATGAACACAACATGTGTTGGGAGTTTGGGATCCCTTTAAAGTTAATTCACTCGAAAAGTAGAAAGATTTTGTTTAAAAGAAAAAAAAAAAAAACTTTTTGAAAGCCATTTGAATTAAATAACTTTGATCTTTACTTATGTTATTATAATAACAAAACACATTTAAATAAAGGTTCAAATCATTATTAATGATATTTTATAAAAATAATAATGAATAATGTATTTATTTTTTTAAATGATATGTATTTTTTATTATAAATGTCTTAAAATTTAAAAAAAAATTATAATAACTTTTTAAATAAACTATTCAATTATTTTTACGTTAATGTGAAGAATTGTTAAGAATCTTTTTTTAACTTTTAAATGTGCGCATTTGTTAAATAATCATTAGATGTAAGTTGTTACTTAAATTTAAAAAAGGTTTTCCATAACAATATTTTAGATAAACATCAGTAAAAATAAACGATTTAATGTTATTTATTGAAGGTAATTTAGATAATTTTATCATTATAGTAAATTATTTAACTTAGTTAAGTTTTAATTTAATTTTTTTTATTTAAGTTTATGTGAAGTTTTTTATTTTATTTTTCGTTATTTTTTTTATGATGATTTATCTGCATCTTTTATGATAAGTTTTTTCTTTAACTTAAGTTAATTACTTCATAGTTATATTTTAAAAAACCAAAATAAAAACATTTCATGACATTTCAATGAAATAAAACTTCTGCTTTGTTTGAGTTAATGTTTCAATTAAATAAAAGTGTAAAAAAATTAATTTTCAAAAAGTTGATAAATAAAAAGTAAATAAAAGAATTTTATGATTTTCTTTAAGCTTACGCATTATGAATTTTATATTTATAACAGTTATAACTGATATTTATAATAAGCATTAATATTTATAAAGTAACTATTGATTTAAAAATTTATGTATATAATAAGTTAAAATATTTATAATAGTTATTACTGATATAATAACTTATTTATAATAGGTTATATTATATCAAGGCCCTTAATTTTTTCCTAAGCAGATCAAAAAACGCAAAGAACACAAAATGATACAAAAACTCAAAAAAAAAAAAAAAAAAAATAATAATAATAATAATATTCATATAATAAAAAACTGTAAGGAAAAATATTTTTCATTATTATGTATCAAAAAAACATTCTAATTACCCAATAAAATCCAAAAAATATTTTTTCATAGATTGATATGACAGGCTTGGACAGGAATGGTGTGCGATCGCACTCTGTAACTGACCACGCTAATATTTTTATTTCTTTACAACTTGACCACGGCTTTTTTGATGTTTTAACAATTTGAATGCAATAAAAAAAGTGTTACGTTATAAATATCTTTTAATCGTTGAACTTTTCTAAAGTTTTTTATTTTACGCAAAGGCTTTGAATTAAAACCATAAAATTAATTATAGTTATTGTTTACATAAACGCTTGTGTAAATTAATAAAAAACATTAAAAATAAGTTTTTTTTATGTAGGCGTTTATTTTTTATGATAAATTTAAACGTTGAAACTATTTTCTTATGTCTTCCTAAAATATTTTTAAACCATTACTTTTACAAAGAATTTTTTTAAGTTACTTTAATTTGTGAATAAGTTCAAAAGCTTTTGTGATGACTAACATTTACACATTTTATGTGAATTACACAAGAATATAAAATAACTTTATTTACTAATATAAGCATGTATTTTGTTGATTATGAAAAAGTTTTAAAGCATTTTTTAATGTTCATACGATTAATTTTTATGATTAAATTTACGATATTTTAAAATGTTTTAGATAAACATTTTAAAATATATTATTTTTTTTTTAATTTCGTTAAAAATGAATGAGATTAAACCTTTGATAATAATTTTTAAATTCGTTACGCAAAGCTTATTAATAAAGTTGTAATGCTCAAATTAAAATTAAATTAAAAAGCTTGTTGGCAGTTTATTTTATTTAAATCGCAAGCGAATTTTATTTATTTATTTTATTCTATTTTTAGGAATAAAAAAGTTCAAAACCTTTTTTTTAATTAGACTCACTAATTAGAGCATGAAATTAGTAAAAATTACTGTTTTAAAAAGCCTACGTTATTTTTAAAAACAATTTTTTTTTTGTGCAACTTTTTTAACAAAATAAATGTTTATACAATTTAAAAATATTATATAAAACTCTTTTTAATAAATTTAATAAAATTTGTTCTTTTATTAAACCAATCAGTAGTAATTTGTTATTTAATTTAAAAACGCTTTGCGTAACTTTAATAACGCTTAAAAAGATAAGTTTTAATAACATTTATTTCATATGTAATTAAAAACATAACAAAAAGTTTTGCTTCGAGTTTAAGTTTTTATTTTCATTTTAGTGCTTATATAATTTATTTTTCGTTATGAATTTGTTTTTTGTTTCTTTTTTCGTTAGGAATATTTTTTTTGTTAGTTTTTTTTTTTAATTTTTTTCCTAATTGATGTTTAGCTTAGCGTTTCTACATTCAGAACATTTCTGAAATTTTTAACTTATCAAAACATATACACATTGTTTGTTAAACAATCGTAGTCAAGTTGTCAAAAAATAAAATCATTTGCGTGGTCAGCAATAGCGCTCAATCGCACGCCATTCCTGTCCAAGCCTGATATGATATAAGTCTAACTCTCATAAATATATTTAAAATAAACTTATTATAAAATTATAAAATAATATTTAACTTCAACTAAAAAAATATAATTTTAAACAAAAATTGTTTGAAATAAAAATAATTAATAAAATCACTTACCGATTTTCAACTCACAATCTTTGTTAACAAGCAAATTACTTGGTTTCAAATCACGATGAATAATATTTGAAGAATGTATATACTTAAGACCTCTCAATATTTGATAGAGGAAATACCGAACATGTTCTTCTGAAAGATCTTGTTTTGAATGAATAATATGATGCAAATCACTACCCATTAAATCCAAAACAACATAAACATCTTTGAAAAGTTTGATATCATCAGGGGGTTTTAATATCTCCTTGATAGCTATAATATTATCATGTTTAAAAAATTTTAAAATCTTCAATTCTCTTAAGGTTCTTTTTGTTATGGCAGGCACATCAAAAATATCACATATTTTTTTAATAGCTACACGCTGACCTGTTGTACTTTCTAATGCTGAGCAAACTACACCATACGCTCCCTCTCCAATGATTTCAAGAATTTTATACTTTGAATCAACATGAAAACTTACTTGTTTCTGATGTCTACGTAATTGATTGCTCATAATTACATTCTTAAAAAAGTTTATATAATATTATTTCTGCAAAACAAAAAACTATTTTTCAATATTAAGTAAATACTTATTAGTAATACTTGCTGAAAAAACAACCAAAGCCATTAAATTTTGTAATGGTGCAAAAACAACCAGGTACTATTTAAATGTATAACTTGTGTCTAAAAAAAATCAAAACCCTAATTGTAATCACAATTATAAAATTATAAAAAAATAAAATAAAAAAATAAATAGATATATAAAATTTAAAAACTTTTCAAACATTTTTATTTTACTTATAAAGTAATTGATTTCTGTTTTAATAGATGATGCAACATATTGACAAAAATAAAATTTGTAATGCAAAACAATAGAAAAAAAAAATATTTCATCAAAGTAAATGTGATTTTAAAATTCAGTGGTAAATATAAAAACTATCTTTATATATATATATATATATATATATATATATATATATATATATATATATATATATATATATATATATATATATATATATATATATATCTTTATATATGTCAGTAATGTACCAACACATTTGGCTTGCATAAATTTTTGAAATGCTAACATTAATTTTTTCTAATAAAGAATAGAGAGAAAACAAACAAAAAATAAATACATGTAATAAAAATTTTATAATCATTTTAATATTTGAAGTAAAAAAAAATTGTAAAAAAAAAATTATTTTTGAAATCTTTTTTTAAAATTACTTTTGAATATCTTCCCAAAATGAAAGTAATGTTTTTTTTTCAGGTTGTTTTACTTTTTTATCATTAATTGATTTGCGTTTTCGTGAAACATTAGAGACATTCTGATTCATTGAATCTCTGACTAGATTCTTCACAGTTTGTTTATTTAGACAAATATCTATATGAGAGTTTAAATTACATTTAATAACTGCTCCACAAATAGGGCATTCAACAGGGTTTTCCATTTCGCTCAAGTTTTCAAAAGAGGTTAAAACTTGTGTTTTCGAGGATGTGGATTTTTGATTTTCTTTATTTTTGAATTTCAAAGAAGATCTGTCATAATCATAATCTTCAGAAAGACATTTACTTGCATGATCTTGTATCTTAGTATCTTGAAACCAACCTCCGCATAAGGGACACATTTGCTTTGATACTTTGTTGAAAAGATCATTATTAAAAAAATGATCAACAGTTTTCTGCTTAAAATTCTTTTGATTATCTAAATGTGTGACACGAATACCCAAAAGTCTTAAAACAAATCCACCATTTTTGTGATTTTTTATTTCATTTAAAAGAAGTTCCTTTGAAATAGTAAACAAATCTTCTGCATTAGAAATTAATTCTGAAAAAGTTTTTGATCGCTGCTTTGTAACAAATGTTGATAGTTTATACTTTAATGATATAGTTCGACCACCAAGCTTTTCTCGAGATAAATCATTTGCTAAGTTTTCAGCTACATCTTTACAAACTTTTAAAAGATCCTCTATATTAGACATATCTTGAAATGTTCGTTCTACACTCATACTTTTTCGTTCGCTTTGCTCTAAACGATTTGATGAAATTCCTAACGCAGTTTGCATAAAGCTCATAAATGTACTCTCTGAAAATAACAGATATAGTATATTACGTTTCTCATACAAATCATTACATGTTAAAATCTTAAATGATTTCAAAATCTGTTCGGTAACATGTCCAATACCAACAATTTTACGAATAGGTAATGCTTTAACAAAATTACTAATAATTTGATAATCTGATTTTAAATAAAACTGTCCATTTGGTTTGTTAAAATCAGAACATATTTTTGATAACATTGTGTTTGGTGCAATACCAGCACTACATGTTAACTTGGTTTTTTCAAACACCTTACTGCGAATTTCTTCAACAACAATTTCTACAAAATCTTTTTCAGTTTGAAACTCTGAAACCGGAGCATTGTTTTTAATATAGTCTGTCAAGTCTAAATAGGCTTCATCTAAACTTAATTGTAAGTAGTTAGAATCATATTCTTTAAATATTTCTTGTATTTCGAGACTAACTTGCTGATATTTTTCAAAATGAAGTGGAACAATAGTTAATTGTGGGCATAGTTTTTTTGCAATAAATCCTGGCATAGCTGCTCTGACACCATAACGTCTTGCAATATAATTAGAAGTTGATAACATTGCAGAACATCCTACTGCCATTGGAATGCTTTGCAATTCTGGATTATCTCTCATTTCGACTGCTGCATAAAATGCATCCATATCAATATGAACCAATATTCGTGTCAAATCAATTTGCTTTTTTAACTGATCATAAATAAAATTACTCTGTACTAAAGCATTTTTGATTTCATTATCACTAAATTTTAATAGTTCGTTATTCAACTGCTCAATTTTTTCTTTTATTTTATTTTCCTTTCTAATTTCATTTTCATAAAACTTTGAGCCCTTGCTCGCCTCATAAATTATCTGATTTATTTTTTCTTTATTTAAATCTAGCATACCAGCTTTGTTATCATTTAACAAGGTTAAAACCTTAGAACCATTTTCTTGTGTAATAACATCAGATTCTTTGTCAAGGGAAACAACACTATTAGTGTCAATTGTTTCTTGATCAATATTATTACTACTATTTTTATTCTGTACATAATTGAATTGAGACGGACGATTATTCATTTTCTGAAATTAAAAAAAAAAAAAAGGTTTTATACAAATCCTTGCATATGCACAATAGAACTATTTATAATATTGTAGCAGATATTTATCTAAAAACTTTAAAGGGTATGACAAAAATAATAAAATAACTTTGCCAAAGTTGTTACTAACGACGTTAAATTGATTACCAAATGATTGGCACTTTAAATTTTTTAATAACAAAAATTTTAGACTCAGTAAAAATTAAAATTTGTTTCTAAACAGTCTAAAATTTTGACGTAAAAAATTGTCGCAAAAATAATAATTACAAGATTTTACTTTTCAAAAAAAAAAAAAAAAAGTATTTTGTAATGTCACATAAATATTAAATTGCTTTGAAATTAATTTTATAGTGTTTCGTCCGACTGAACGTAGCTTTCGTCATGGGTTCCTAATGGTCGGTTTAAATAGAATCGCATCCATGGCAATCTGCACTAAAAGGTAACTTGATATAAATTGACATGGTTTACGACACGGGTTATAAAGCATAATCGTCAATTTCTAAAAAGAAACCTGTCTAAAAAAAAAGTGAGAGGGGTGGCGGTGGGGTGGGGAAAGAGCCCCGTGGCCCCCTGTGTTGTCAGTTCTGATAAAAACCCAGTGAAAAACTCGAATCTTCCCTTGATATGGTAAATACAACATCCAGCATATTGGTGCTGTCAAAGCAATTATCAAAAATCATAGACTTTTGATGGTTCTCTCACAGCCTCAATGCATTGTATTGAAGTGAAGTTAAAATCAATGTTAAAAAAAAATTTAGTCATGCTCTTAAACCTTCAAAAGCCGGATCTAAAGAAATAAAAAAGTCTATTTAATAAATCCGCCTAAAAACAAAGGAAATTAAAATGAACCCTGCGAGCAAAGCGAGACAGTTTTAGAAGGTAAAAACTCTCAGGAAACATTTAAAGATGCATTCAAAAAATATGTTACAACCCGTGATATTTAAAAAAAATTTTACGTCATTTTTTTTTTATTGTTAGAGTTTTTTCCTCCTAGATTTTTTAATGTTAATCCAGATCTGACAGAAGCACAAAGAAGACAAGATACACAATTACGAGACGAGTTGAAAAAGAAAAACGAGCCTCTTAATTTGAAAAAAAACTGAGCAAATGCAAGTCATTTCTACATTTTTCGTAATAATGCTGTAGTTAAAGTAGACAAATAGCAATCAACAGTAAGTAATTTAAAACCATTTAATGAGAATTTAAATATAAACGAAATTTCTCTAGAACGTAAGTCATTTTCAACTATTAGTCTACGACAACAGTCAGCTTTCCATAAAATACCATGCTGTTATACCAATGCTACATCCTTTAACAATAAAATAACAGAGTTTCTAGCACCAATTAAGATATACAACCCTAAAATAATCTTCGTTACAGAAACTTGGTGGCACGAATCATCGATAACTAACATTGAAAACAATATGTTATTCAGAAAAGATCGCGTTTCCAGTCGAGGAGGTGGGGTGGCTATTTTTGTTGACACTTCATTAAAACCTAATGAAGTAAGCGAAAATGTTTTATTAGATTCCCCTAAACAAATTTAATGCAAAATATCGTACGATTCCGAACACATTCTTCTGGGTTGCATATACAGGCCACACATGCTAAATCCACTCGAGAATATCGAAGCGTCCATTATTAAAGCCAATGAACTTCTTTCTAATATAAACATCAGCTTGTTGATTTGTGGAGACTTTAATTTATCAGGGATCAACTGGGATTTGAGCAGAATCCCAACATTCAGCAACACAGATACCCTTTCAAGTAATTTTATTGACATCCTTACCGAGTCGATTTTGATACAATTTGTTACTAAGTCTACTTTCAACTTGATGAAATTACATCGAACAACACTCTTTATCTAATTATAGCCGAAAATAAAAATCGGGTCCTCGATATTATTTACCATGTACCTTTAAGGTCTCTGAAGAAATCTCACCACGTCCTTCAATGGGATTACGTTGTTAAAAGCGCTGCAATTGTAGGAAAACACATTGAAAAAACGCATTTGTCATAAAAGTAACTTTGTAATAATATCCGAATATTTTAAAAATATCAATTGGGAGATCGAATTCAATGGACGCAATACTGATGACTGTTATAGCATTTTCCTGAACCAATACGAGACTGCATGCAAAAATTATGTCCCAATGATTAAATCAAAATGGATTTGTTGTAGAAGCTAACGGACAAATGATGACACCAAGAATAAAATAAAAACTAAAAATAAACTATGGTTTCGATGTAGAGCGAATGGATAAAAAAATCTTAAACTAGTCAACGAATACAAAGCGTGTAATATTCAATTGAAAAAGCTCGTTGTGAGTTTAAACTTGATTTAGCGATAAAATCGAAGCACAATACTCGCAATACAAAGCAAATACTCGCAAATAACGCAAGATCTGGTTAAAAACAAGCTGAGCGATTTATCAGTTGACAAAATTGTTGGTTTGGATGGTGTAAGCGCATATGTACTGAAGAATTGTTCTGACAGCTTCTCAATACCTTTATGCGCAGTTTTTTAGAAGTCGCTAGATAGTGGGTGTTGTCCTGAAGTATGGAAAAAAGCTAATGTAACACCACTGTTTAAAAACGGAAGTAGACTCGACCCAGGCAATAACCGGCCTATATCCTTAACATCAATTGTATGTAAAGTGATGGAGAAAATATTACGTGACACCATGGTCAATCATTTAGTCGAACATAGCCTTATTTAAAAAAATTAACATGGTTTTGTCAATAAAAAAGTTTGTGTGACTAATTTGTAGGAGTTGATTAACATGATGTCAAAAGCATTATCTGACAAGATATCTATGGACGTAGCTTTTATAGATTTCAGTAAAGCATTTGACATGGTTCCTCACAAGAGACTAATTTACAAACTTGAGGCATATGGTTTTACTGGAAATCTCCTGAATTGGATAAAATCGTTTTTACACCAGCATTTTAAACGAATCGTGATGGACGATTATGTTTCCTTGTGGCTTGAGGTATTTAGTGGCGTCCCTCACGGATCCGTATTAAGTCCAATACTTTTTATCATTTTTGTGAACGATATATCCAATATTGTTAACCATTCATGTAAAATGTATGCTGATGACACTAAACTGCTGGCCCGTTTAGACCACCCATTAGATTCACAAATGCTTTAAACTGATATCTACAACATAGCCGATTGGTGTAAAAGCTGGAAAATGAAACTTAATCTCGATAAATATAAAATCATGCACATAGGTAAAAAAAACAACTTTTAGGTCTACTCAATGCCAGCTAATGACAATAACAGTGTCGAATTAGCATTGACTTTAGTTGAACGTGAATTAGGCATCATGATTACGCCAGACTTAAAATGGCATAACAATTCAACTTTTGCAACCAATAAAGCTAGTTGTGTATTAAGCATGTTGTATCGTACTTTCAGTCACATGACTCCGCAACTACTTAAAATTCTATATACAACCTTTGCACGACCTTATTTGGAATTTTCAGTAGCAGCCAGTAATCCATCATCAAGAATAGATATTGATAAAATTGAGAAAGTACAAAGAAGAGCTACCCGTTTAATACCTTCGTACCGTCATATGTCATACAAAGATCGTCTGAATATACTAAACTTAACGTCTTTAGAAACCCCTCGCATTAGGGGAGATCTGATACAGGCCTATAAAATTATTAACAATATAGACATTGTCTCATGGAGTGAACCCCATGTCCTTCGTGTTAGGGAGTCAAATAAAATCGAATAGTGAATCATTGGAATGCATTGCCGTCAGAAATTATATGCGCTTCATCAGTGCAGAAATTTCATATAATCCGCATACGTATTGAGATTATAACTGAAAAAAAAAAAAAAAAAGGAAAAACAATAAAGTACAAACTTATACTTCATACTATATATCTTATTGTAAATTTTTATATATTGATATGAATAAAATTAATATATATATATATATATATATATATATATATATATATATATATATATATATATATATATATATATATATATATATATATATATATACATATATATATATATATATATATATATATATATATATATATATATATATATACATATATATATATATATATATATATATATATATATATATATATATATATATATATATATATATATATAAATCAAATATAAAAATTACATAAAAAGTATAGGTTGTTATATCTTTATTTTGGTAGCTACATCGCTACAAAAAGATCTCACGGTCATATCACAAAAAATCGCGGAGGAGAATTTGATTAAAAACTTTACTATACAACTATTTTTATTGCCATGCATACATTATTGGTAAAACGAACAGATACTTCATAACTTAATAATGGTTAATTTGATAAACAAAATATGAACACATATTTAGAAAACAGTATACTATAATGTCATAATTATATAAACATATTTTTTCTTTCTTAAAAAAGTTGATATCATAAGCGCGTGTTTGATTATTTGAGGCAAAAGTTTAATATTTACTAAGTTTATAAAATGTTAACAGATCGCAACAACAGAAATCAAGGTCGACAACACCGGGGAGGGAAGGAAGGGGGGGGGGGGAAGGGGACGGGGGACACGTGCCCCCCCCCCTAATTTTTTTTCTAAAGGACCTTTTTTTTTCTTTTTTTTTTTTAAGAAAAATCTTGATAAAGAGGGCTTTTTAAACAAGTTAATGATTGTGCCCCACACACACACACTTCAAAACTTGTGCCATCGGCCCTGAAAATTGATAAAATTTTTAATCTACCGAATTTAGCAACATTTCGAACCTTCCGAATTTAGCAATCTCCAATATTACGATAATGGAAAAACTATTTTTAGGGCACTTGTCATTAAACAATTTATTTATCAAATTTATTTATCAAATATCAAAATTTCTTAACTTTTAAAACTGTCTTTATCATTTCATAAATAGTGTAAATATTTTATTATATGTATTTATCTTTTATTATATGTATTAAAAAATTGAGACTGCATAAATACTTTTTTTAAAAACTGTCGTTTTTTTAAAATCCGAACTGTTGCGCAATATGAATTTAAATCCAGCCAATGCCAACTCAGTTTCTATGCTAAGCCAACAATATTTTTAGATATAGGAGCAATACATAGAAAAATATAGCATGAAATTCAAACAAATGAAATAATAAAATAATCAGATAAAATGAATTGTTTTTGGCCCTCTCTGTGTCAAATCTTCCGATTTTTCGATTTAAAAAAGTATTTTAGATAGAAAGGAGTTTACATGTTGATATATTACTTATGAGTGTTTACTTTACTTCAGTGTATTGGTCTGATCAGGGAATAGATAATATTGTTTCATCAATCACTGCAATTTTTGACCAATTCTAAATCAATCAACCATTTATCAAGTTGGTGAGACACGGTTATAATGAACTCTGTTGTAAAAAAGATTAGGGGACAAAGATAGTGCAGCTACAAAGCATAGTCATAAAATTCATAGTCAATAGCGCTATTGTTTACCGTATTGTTAGCGTTTTTTTAGAACCCAGCCTACCAATAAATGCACACTTTTGGTAAACAATGGCGCATTAAATGGAATATTTGCAAGAAGATTATCAGTTTATTCTTGATTTTGGCATATGCCTTGTCTTAATTGTTATATATTTAGTTCAAGAACTTCTCGAAGAAGTATAAATGTTTTTCTGTTTGAAATACATTCTTCCAATGATCTTTATAACAAAGAATCGAGTTTTACGAAATAAAAATAAAAATACATCTTTACTTATAATATATAACAACTAAAGATATAATATGATATCAGATAAAAAAACAAGTTCAACTTCACAATAAATAATTTTTATAACTTCTTTTTATTAACATGAATGATAGCTTTGTATCATCTTCCAAGAAAACGAACCTTTAAAAGCTCATGGAAGGTGAATGAACATGAACTTTTTTTAAAGAAACAAAATTCATGAACTTATTTGTAGAACACGTTGCAGCAAAGATCGTTTGTAAAAATAAGAATGTTTTTTTAAACGAAATTCTTGAACTTAATTGTAGAAGACGTTTGCTTAATCTCAGTTTATGCATTTATTTGCTGTGTTAAAGAGACACTATTTGAATGCTGCTATGTTATTTTAAGTACGTAGAAATCTCGTTTTACTGAGTCGAATTTGTGCTAAAATTCAGTACAACGATTTTTCAACTTTTTTTAAGGTAGTGTTAGACAAATCTTTTTTTGATGTGTTTCTTTTTAAAAACATATTCTTGAAAATAAGAAAGGTATAGCATTTTTATATAATTTTTTTGTTACTAAACTTTAGATAAAAAAACAATTGACGAGATTTAATGCCTTTTGACAAGATGAGACTTTTGACTGGATTACAAGTAATATACTAGTTTTAATAATACTAGGTTATGCAATAACTGTATAAATTATTTTTCAAAACTATTTATAATAGTTTTGACAATACTTCACTATAATACAATAGTATTGACAATACTTTAACAATTTATAGTATTACTATAAAATAACTATTAAAGTATTGTACTGTCAAAAATTGTTCTATGCAATCTAAAAGTAATAGTCAATCTTTTCATCTATAATTGCAAAAATTTAATATTTGACTTGTCTGAGTACTGGCTATTGCTAATCAATCAATTTGTTTCAGATTCCGAAGAAAAGTCTACAGAGGTAGAAAAAAGTAATATTTACATTATTTATTGATGTGACAATCTTTTGTTGTTTATCATCTTTAATTTTTAATTTTATTTAGAATTACCATTCGTAAATTTTACACATCGCAAACTTTATTGATAAAAACCTAATAAGTTAGCATGTAAATGTTATTCAAATACTATTTATTTATTTCAATTAAATTTAACTTTTTTATTTTTTATTATTTTTTTGAATTTTTGTGTATTATTTTTATTTCTTTTTAAAATCTGTTTTAGTTCCTTATTAACTATGCTTGCTTTTTATTATCTTCTGGTAATAAGAGCATGCAAGAGTGCTTTACAACGAAACGAGATCAAAAGTTACGACAAGCTAAAAGGCGCGGATGTATTCGCTGACAAAGTTTATAAATATAAATTAACAAGAAGAGTGTCTGAAGCACTACTAGCTGCCCCAAGCTGTTTTAGTAAATTTATTATTTAAAAAAATTATTGTGTTTAATAAATGAGCTTTTTATTTAACTTATCGTTTTAAGTTATATTTAATAAATTCTTATCAGTGATTATATTATATGATTTCATATATTTTGATTTTTTATGATAAGTTAAGAATAAGTAATGTTACCATTAAAAATTGTTTTTGAAATTTGCTCCCCCAAGATTTAGGTAATGTAATGAACCCGGAGGAAGTTTATATGCAGCTTAGAAAGGAACTTTCACTTAATAAAAACCAACAAATAAGATCTTGATTTTTGAAGTATGCATTTTTTTAATTAAAAATATTTAAAAATATTAAGTAAATTCAGTTAAGCTTTTGAACATAGTAGCAAGTAATTATTTAAAGTTTCAGTAAAAATAACTTTGCGCATATGATTATGAAGGTTTTTTGCGCATATGGTTATGAAGGTTTTAATAATTTTGTGCATATGATTATGAAGGTTTAAAATAATGTATAATTGAAATTTTTGTAGGTTTAGTAATACAAAAGAAAAGGTATGTTGTTTGAACCAACAACAAAAAATAATTAACAATCAGGTTAACGATAACAATAAAGTTTATGGCGAAAACGATGACTGTAATCAAATAGACAACATTGAAGATAGTAATTATTATTTGGAAGACATCGCCTACCTTGCAAAAAAAAGTCATCTTCCATGGAAAGTGAATAATAGGGTTGCTGTTCTATACAAAAAACAGTGAAATATTAAATATAATATCGATGTAATATCATTCAAATAATAGTTTTGAAGTAATTGTTTTGTCTAAAATTGATTTTTAGAAAAGAGTGCCCTAAAATTAAAAATATACAAACAATAAATTCTAAATAAAAATAAGTAGAAAATATATATAAATAAAACTTTATAAATATTTACTAAGAATGTACAGAAAATTTAACAAACTATAAATTCTAGATTATATAGCTTTAAAAGTCTCGCTTATACATTCAGGTATCTATATCTGGGATCAGAAAGAATTGTATGAATAACGGAGAAAAAGAAAAAGAGAATTTTTTGAAGTGAAGTGTTGGATGGAGCAGAATATATGTGTGAAGTGTTCGATGCAGCAGAGTATAGTATATGTGTGACGTGTTGGATGTAGCAGAGTATAGTATATGTATGAAATGTTGTATGGAGCAGAATATAGTATATGTGTAAAGTGTTGGATGCAGCAGAGTATATGTGTGAGGTGTTGGATGTAGTAGAGTATAGTATATGTATGAAATGTTGGATACAGCAGAATATAGTATATCTGTGAAGTGTTGAATGCAGCAGAGTATATGTGTAAAGTGTTGAATGTAACAGAATATATGTGTGATTTGTTAGATGTAGCCGAATATAGTATATATGTGAAGTGTTAGATGTAGCAGAGTATATTATATGAATGAAATGTTGGATGCAGCAGAATATAGTATATGTGTGAAGTGTTGGATGCAGCAGATTATATGTGTTAAGTGATAATTTGTTTGATGTGTCTAAATACCTGTATTTATAAATCAACAAATAAATTTTAAATTTTTAAAAAATGTTTTGCTGTTTAATTTTTGTTCAGTTTTGAATTTATTTTATATCATTTGTGTGATAAAGTCACATGAGTTTTTTTTTTTTTCATGTTAGGACCATATTTTATTTTTTTTCCCCATGATTATTTTTTTTACAAAACTTAATGCCTCTCCCGTAATGTATCATAATGTGACGTTTTTATTTTCGATTTGAAGCCTTAATATGCGGATAGCCCTCAGGTATTTCTTTATAAATATTAAAAAATACTTTTTATTTTTTTTTAGGTATTACAAACCTTTTTTTTATTTTTACAATACCTACTATACTTACTTAATCTGCAAAAAAATTGTGCCGTTTGCCGTTAAAAATAACCTTTTGCCATTAATAAGTTGTGTGCAACCTTTTGCCGTTAACAAGTTGTGTGCAACCTTTTGCCATTAACAAGTTGTGTGCAACTTTTCATGCAGAAAAGTGCAACTTTTTGCCGTTAAAAATAATTCCCACCCAAAATTGACTAAAATTAATGTATCTTTTTTATATTTATTAGAAACAGCTTATTGATTAAGTCTGATATTAACATTAACATTTACGTGCAACTTCATGTCTTGCCAAAAATGGATTCAAAGATGTCAAAAACTTGAGTAAACAAAAATTTTCAAAAATTTTTATTTCTCCAAAAGGTTTTCTTTATATTCTGAGCAGTATATAATAAATTCAAGTAATTTAAGGGGTCACTTTAACAGTATCAAGTATTGCTTATAAGCAGGTAGTGAGATTAGTTTTCTAGTCCGAAAATTTAACATTCGTATAAAATGTTTTGAGATTTCATTGAAATTTAATTGAATATAAGTTATAAAAAAAAAATGTTTTTCACAAAACATTCTCACTTAAAAACATCTGCAAAAATTTTAATGCTACATATATTCCTAAAAATATTAATGTTTCATATAATACTGAAATTTTAATGATCCATACACTCCTAATAAAATAAATACTTAACAAAATTTATCTGAAGTTAAAAACCGAGCCCTTGTTTATTAATTTCCAACTTACCAAACCCCCACCCATTTCGACAAAGTGGGATGGAAACTTTTGTTAAAACTTAATACACAGGGGAGGAAAGGGAAATAGAGTTTTGATAATTGGGTGGGTGTAAATTTAAATTAATATTAGTGCATTTATATTTTCTAATTTTTAGCCGCTTTAGACTGCAAGGCTTTTTTCAATTATTAAAAATTAGTAAACGGGGGATCTTAATAACCTTAGAGTGTTTATCTTATATATAACTTATACTAAGTGAAAACTATTTCTTTATTTTTTATTTTTTTTATAAATCTATTTTAGTTACAAAAATATTTTCTCCTTTAGTTTAATAATTACATAAATAGTGTACTCATTTGTTAATGTGAAATAACCTATTGTTTATCTTATATTTAACTTATACTAAGTGAATAAAGAAATAGTTTTCACTTAGTATAAGTTATATATAAGATAAACAATAAGTTATTTCACATTAACAAATGAGTACACTATTTATGTAATTATTAAACTAAAGGAGAAAATATTTTTGTAACTAAAATAGATTTATAACATTTTATTTAAAATATGGTTTTTACTTTAAAATAAATTTTGTATCTTTTTTGAAGTTTAATTATTTGATTAAAATAAAATTTTGCCAACCAGGTGTGTAAATAATGAGCTTAAATTTTTAAAATAAAATTTTGCCAGCCAGGTGTGTTAATAATGAGCCAACCAGGTGTGTTAATAATGAGTTTTAATTTTTGAAAGTCTTAAGACTGACATACTTTAATTAATGTTAAATTTATTTTTTTGTTCTTTATATATTAGTTTTTATTATTTATTTGTTTTAAAACTTTACACATTTTTTAGTTTATTTACTTTATCAATTTGGTTTAAGATCATAATAAATAATTAAAATAAATTTGTTGCAGTGTATTCTATTTATAAATATTTAACTATTTCGCAATGACTTAGACTTAAGTCATTGACCTTTAGTTTTGATAGCTTGTAGGTCTTGACGTAGTTTTGTAAGCTAGTAGGTCTTGACGTAGTTTTGTAAGCTTGTAGGCTATTCTTGAGGTAGGAAAATGTTTTGGTTTTAAAGCAAAAAAATAAAAAAAAAATTTCTTTTATCTTTGAAAAATTAAATAAAACTTTTGTATATTTAAGAAGTAAATAATATTTTAGAAGTGAGTAATTTCCCTTTCTCTTTGCTGTCAATTTTATTGACTTAATAATTTTTTAAAGGTTGTGTGAGCAATAATAAAAATTTATACTGCCTCAATTTTCATTTTTCATAGGCCTGATCTGTTACGCTTGTTTAAATTTTTGTGCTCAGGCAAACCAACGTTTCCTTGATACTGAATAGCATGCTATTCAACATATTATACTATTGCATCAGTTTTTCAGATATTTATAAGGATACTATCAACAGTATATACTTATTTAACTTGCTAACAAGTTAAATAAACTTATTTTTAAAAATATCTGAAAAACTGATGCGATATTATGCTGAAAACATTCCAACTTAAATAGAAAATAATTTGAAACACAAAAATTTTTCGCACAAAAGCCTTTTAAATGAAATTGTATTGCTTAAATCACTAGTCAATTCAAGGTTGCTTAGATTGAAAATTTGATTACTTAAATAAACTTTATTACAAGATTTTAGGACTATTAAACAGATAATATTATAAAAAAAACAAATTATTTGGTGTACATCCTAATAACAAAACCACTTTTTAAAGGGGATCAGGACAACTTTTTCCCCCTCCTCTTGCCCCTTAATATTTATAAAAAAAAGTTATACCATTTTATAAAAAAATTAAACTACATATACATATTTAAAAATTCAAAAAAATTTATCTTGGCGTTCAAAAGATATAACTATTTAAAGTAAAACTAGTCAAAGTGTTACTAAATTTAATATATATGTATGTATACGCTTTAGTTGCAAATCTAACATATTTATTATTTATTTGCATTTAAACTAGCATAGTTAATATAGTTAACATGCCAAACAAACTAGGGATCATTTTCAAGAAAACTTATTTGAGTTTTTTGTGGTGATAAGAACTTAAAATGTACTAAAATGGTAACTAGGAATCCATTATTAATCTTTGTTCAACTGTATGCCAACACTAACTATAATCTGAAACTTTTTTCCAAACCTATTGAGTTATGTCCAAGCTGCAAGATTTATTAGCCCTCTGCTAAAAAAGGAGAACCTTTATCACTGGTTACTTTAGAGATGTGGTTGCTCACATCAGAGAGAATAAAATTACTTCCAAGATTTAGAGGTAATACTTTTACTTTCTTATGCATATGTTAAATTTAAGCTTTTAGTATATAAATATAGGTGATACAGTGTCAACATGTGGTTGCCCGCTCTGTATCATTTCAAGAGATAAATCCAGATCTATAAAACTTCAGGTAATTTATAAAGAACTCATTTATGTAGTTCAATTATTTACGTTTAAAACATTTAAAAGTTATAGGTTT